CATTTTAGGTATTTGACTTTTTGGTTGTTGTCGTCAGCCACCTTAAGGAAAAGGCGAGGTAGACGTTGAATGAATGAATGAATGAACGAATGCAATTTGTTCACCTCACTCGCCATTATGTTGCCTTCCCTCTTTTGCAGGAAGGAAAAACAAAATATGTCAGCAGCAAAAATGCATTTCTAGTCGCCGCATGAGTGGTAGCTTTTAAATATTTTCAACCATCACTGAACAACACCCAGAGGGGGCACCCGACCCTATATTTGCCTCAGGCAGCAAAATGGCTTGGGCTAGCCCCTTGCCTAAACTCTTCCCCAACTCAAGTCCTAAACCCCCAATTCACAGTATTTATCGCTTATAGACAGACACAGAAAATCTCACAAATGTCCTTTGTTTTTGTTGTTGTTGTTATCTGCCTTTGTGTTGATCTCAACCCTATGGATGAGACATCTCCAGGCCCCTTTGCCCTCTATTGCTCTGCCCAGGTCCTGCAAATCCTTATTCATGGTCTCTTTAATAGACTCCATCCATCTACCACGTTGCCTTCCTCTCTTCTTACTTCCCTCCACCTTTCCTAACATCATTGTCTTTTCCAGCGATTCATGCCTTCTCGTGATGTGTCCAAAGTACGACAGTCTTAAGTCTTGTCATCTTGGCTTCTAGGGATATCTCTGGCTTGATCTGCTCTAGGACCCATTTTTTTGTCCTTTTGCCTGTCCATGGGATCCTCAGCACTCTTCTCCAGCATCACATCTCAAAGGAGTTGATTTTCCTTTCATCTTCTTTCTTGATTGTCCAGCTCTCACATCCATACATGGTAATACAATGGCTTAAATTATTCCGACTTTTGTGCTGAGTTGTATGTCTTTGCATTTTAGGATCTGTTCTAGTTCTTTTATAGCCACTCTCCCCATTCTTAATCTTCTTCTGATTTCCTGGCTGCAGTCTTATTCTGATCAATGTTTGAGCCCAGATTTTACTATTTCTATTTCCTCATTGTCTAGTGTGAATGTATATAAGTTCTCTGTGGTCATTATTTTTGTTTTCTTTATGTTCAACAGTAAGCCTGCCTTTGCACTTTCTTCTTTGATCTCCCTTAGTAGTTGTTCCAAGTCTGTGAGGTTTTCTGCTAGCATTATGGTATCACCTGCTTTCCTTACAATATGTTTTGCATATAAGTTGAATAGGTAGGGTGATAGGATGCAGCCTTGTCTAGCCTTGCCTGACTCCTTTGCCAATTGGGAACCATTCTGTTTCTCCATGTTCTGTTCTGACAGTAGCCTCTTGTCCCGAGTACAGATTCCTCATCAGGACTATCAGATGTATTGGCACTCCCATGTCTTTAAAGGTGTTCCATAGCTCTTCATGATCTATATGCAGTCAAAAGCTTTACTATAGGACGTTATCACACGGGGAGTTGCGGGGAGAAAGTGGAAATAA